TGTACAGCTGAAGGCTTGCACAGCATTAAAAATACAGTCGTTCACATTTGTTTACCATACATGGTGGGGGGGGGGGGGGGGGCATGTATGTCAGGCGCGTGCCCAAACATGTGAAGTGCTCGGGCTTGAATAGAAAAAGGGAACCCACACCTCACCCCCTATATATATCTAAATATATTTATATTGTGTACATATATACTTACATATATATACATGTATGTGTATATATATATATATATATATATATATATATATGATGTATATGTATATATATATGTATGTATTTTTTGTTTGTTGCATCAGACATATCAAGGAAGGCCTTGGGACTATAATTTATTTGACGCTATCCATCTTACGGGATGTGTTTATTTTCTGCCTTTTTATTGTTGGAGGCTAATTGAAAACAACAATCAAGATATTGCTGGAATATGTATCAAATTTACATGATGCCAGTTTATAACCCACAGAACACTGTTAATAAACAGGTGCTGAGACTGCAGGGTCATCCTGCAAGCGAGGTTATCCTTGTACATTGCATGGTCAGTCAAATCTATGACAGTGCACATAGATTTAGATTTATGGTCCCACAGCCAGTACAACAGGCACCCATTGGTTTGTAGCCTACGATTTTATTAGTTTAAGGAAGTTCCTTAAACCCGCAGTGGCTTCAGGAGGTTGCCACCTGCTAACCAACACAGCCCCTTTTTAAATGACACAGGGCTGTTGCTTGCTCTGAAAGCATCCTAACGCCCATGAATGTAAATGAAAGAATAAGTCATTTTTCAGTGCCCTCTAAAATGTATATGATCATTACAAAAATGATTCATATGACTGTATCATGATCGGTCACCTCTGTGGTTCAGGTTTGGTTGGGTTTATTCACACAAAAACAATCCTACATATATAATATTTCAGGTGTTTTGGCTGAGGAGCTACATCGTTGAGCTGAATAAAAAGGTTGAAAAAGAGGTTGAAATAACTTCGATCCACCATGTTGATACATTGCAGCTACCTGGGTGTGAATGATGTGTAACCTTCACACATCGTCGTTCCTGGTCCGTACCGGCAGCAGTGATAAATCTTCAATGTGTGTTACTGTCGAAGCTCGTACGACAGCGACGTTGACCTGGCTGTGTGCCGAGAGGATCGTACCTACGTACAAGGCATGCTGCGTTTCATTTTTTCAATGAATTCTGTTTACATACAAAGCTTACGGTTTGAAGATTTACCCAAACTATTGAGTGATGTATACATATATTTTTCAAACAGCTCCGAGCAGCACTTACCCAAGTGGAGTATGTTTAAGACTAATTTGAACGACAGATTGATTGACAAAAACAGATTTCTTGTACTAGGTTCATCTTCTCTTCAAACTAAACACTTTCCTCACTTAAAGGATTGGTTCCACCTATTAATAAAAAAAGTATATCCTCCCGTACCTGTAGTGGTATCAAGCCAAGATAGTTTTGGTTCTGTTTGTCCATGAGTTCTGCCTCACCTCAATATAATGGAGGTGAATTGAATTGAGTTTGTGCTGTACTGCATTGAAAACTGGCATTTATAAAATTCAACAGCAACACCATTATTGGTTTCACAAGAGCCCCTTAATCAACACAATACATTGTAAACAGTACTATTTTTTGGGTCGAAAGTAGTTCCACTCAAAGGAAAAGAGCCATTGCTGCAGATATCTGTAAAACAGAAAATGCATACATAATATAAGCATGAAGAGCATTGACGATTCAAATATGGACATACTCTCTGTGACGTCATACATGGTTTTCCTGAAGAGTTCAAAAAAAAAAAATGGGCGAAGAGGTGGAATCGTCGGTGGAGATAAGGCTGCTTGGCTGACGCAGCAGAGGAGGCAGCTAGCAGTCGTTGCCCTGTCATGTGTTGGATGCTATTTGACCTTGTCTTGGCTAGGTCTTGCTTGAAAAAGAGGTTTTATTGTCAATGTGACTTCCCAAATAAATAAAGGTTATATACAGTATGTTGAGGTCTCCTGCCCTGCTGACCTCCATTGTCCAAGCCATCAATCTCTTTTGGTTCCCTTTCAATCGTCACATTTAGTGAAAGGTGATAGCGTGGCCGAGGCAAAAAAGCTTTTGCACCTACTATGAAGGTATATTTGTGTCTTTATTACACAAATAAAAAAAAATGTTTTGAGAGCAAATTTCTCGCACTGTAATCAAAAATCAAGTTTGTAAGTAAAAATATATAAACTGAGAATAAATTATTTGTTAGTTTTGCTTATGAAACTAGAACTTTTGGTTTAAAATCAAAAACCTTTGCCTTCAAAACAAAAACCTACTAGTTGAGTTTGGATGTAGTGGGCGGGGCATACGCTGCTGAATGAGCCAAGAGTTTCTATTGGTGGGTTCTACTTGGATCCCGGTATCTGCTTCCACTGTAAACACTGACGGGAGGTTACTGTGATGAGCGACATGGAGGTAAATTGACATTATATTGCTCCGTTTTGTCAAAATTATTTTAAATGTAGCAGCACTTCACTTTGTTTTCATGTTGTTAGTGTCGTGGAGTCTCTTTTTTAAAGAATGACATGGAGGGCTGCTGTGTTGACATCAACCCCCATTTTTTGAAAGCAAAAGTTTTTGATTTGCAGCCAAAAATTCATTCAGTTTCATAAGCAAAACTAACAAATAATGTTTTCTCAGTTTATATATTTTTACTTACAAACTTGATTTTTGATTGCAGTGCGAGAAATTTGCTCTCAAAACATTTTTTTTGTTTGCGTAATAAAGAAATATACCTTCATACCTCCACAGAGTTTTAGTTTGGAATCAAAGTGTTATAAATGCAATTGCTTGAACTTGTATTACCCCCCCCCCCTACTGTTTCTATCACTGCTGTTTTCATCATACAGACTGCATATCGGGTAGTTAGGAAATCTACACTGTTTGACAAGGATCACAGTATATACACTACACATGTAGTTGAGACTTTTTTGTTTTATTTGGTGTTTTAAGGTGAAAACATGGAAAAAAAACTCAGCAGACACAGTCCAGTCATTCTTCTCATTCTCTCCGTCTCATTTGTAATGTAAGCCTCTGCCATGACACGTTACAGGATACTCCACGAGTCCATTGTGAGGGACATCGCTCATCAGCAGTTGGATTATGATGGTAAGCACTTTGTAGCTCATGTGTGGAGGTAAAGAGAGAACTGAGATATACAATCAAGCATATTTAAAACATGTGGGACACCATTCATTCACACCGATGGTGGAGCCCAGACCAAATACAACTGACTGCCTCCACCATAGACACCGAGACCAGGGCAGAACACTCACCCCCCCCCAACTCGGTGGGTTAGAAAATGTGGCTTCAGAACTAGACTCTTCTGACAGAAGACTGATAGAGGACAGAAATTACTGTTGTGTCGTTTATTAAATACGATACCCGTACCCAATACCAGTACCCTTAACGTGATACCAATACCAGTCAAGGGCGTCATTTGATACCCATCATGTGAACGGAAGCGTTCAGTTGTGCAAAATGCCTCCACCACCTCCTATGTTGTATACCTTTGAATGTTTTGGTGGCATCTCGGCACGCTCAACTTCACCACACCACAGACTGAATGGTTTGTAGCTGCTGCGGTAGTGGGCCAATCATGCGTTGCATTAAATCGAAAAACGCTTGTGGTGATTGGCAGCGAGCAAAACCATCATTATATTTCTAGACCTGGGTATTAAAATGATCAAACGCAGGTATCATATGAATCATTTCAATACTACTTGGTACTGGTTTATTTCGGTCGATACCTTAAAAGGTATTAAGTACCGATACCCAGCCCTATTCGGCCAGCTCATAAAAGATTTAGCTTTTGCTGTTTTCCCTCTCTTGTAGGTTTGTGTATGGAAATGTCTCAGGACATACTTCCTGTATACTTCAATGTCTGCGGTTTGTTTAGAATGATAATAGAAGATGTGTCTCAATTCAGAGCTTTCCTCCTTGGAAGGACACAGTCCATAAAGGAGTCTTTCATGCAAAACTGGATTGGCAACGTAGCTAAAGTGGGCCACTTCCTGAAAGCTTACCATTGTCAATTTGAGTTCATCTCATTGGAATTTGGTTTGGCAATATTTACCACGTAATCAAATGACACGATAAGGGCCCTCAAGTGGGTCCTGCTTCATTGATCTTGAGTTCTTGATGAGCAACCCGTTCGCACTCCCAAATCGTCAAATACCGACGCTTAGTCAGTGACCCTCAGCGTCTGAGAGCGACGCACCGCGGCACCCCTAAGCATCTGTATGAGACGCACCTGGCAAGTAACTCCTATGTAAACCCATCCACAGTATTATTAGACAGTTAGAGCAACTGACTTAGTATAAAGAGCAAGAAAGGGAGGAAGTCGGGGTTCAAATAAACTCAGACTTTCACCCAGGAGACCGCTGTTCGTGTCACATGTGAAAGCAAGTAATTGACTTATTTTACCTTACATAACTTAACTAACGCTGTGTACGTAAGTTACACAACAAACATACTTATTTTAACACAACCACAATTTTTTCCTAAGCCTCCCCGAGTGATTTTGTTGCCTAACCCGAACAAAGTAAACCTACAATCAAAGTAATACTACGTTAGTAGTTTATATTGAAAATAAACTGTATGCATGTAAACAAGTGTGGCTACTGACCAAGTGTCAGTGTTTGACGAGTTGGGAGTGAGAACGTGTTGCGAAGAGGGGTTCTGTGTCAAGATCTATAGGCACAACACCCAATGGCCCCCTAGCAAGTTCATCCAGCCATACCTTCAGAGGACTAACCCGCTCCTCTTATTCAGTCTTCATAGGAATCTGAAATGGGACACAGCTTTGCATTCTATATTCTTCTTATTGTCACATAAAGATCAAACTCACCAATGCATTAGTCAATCTACCAATACTTTCTGGATCCTACTGAAGACAAACTATTTTTTTTTTTAAAGAACGGCTCACATATTTGTAGTTTAATTTAATAAAATAATGTTTTTCCTCAAACAGCTGAACACTGTAGTTTTTAACAAATGTTACTCAAACAGGAGGAAATTGTGCATTTGTTGGGGACTATCTTCAGCAGCGGATGAATCCACTTTTAGTGTTAGTGTCTAGTCTCCAATCGTTTTGGACAACAAGGGATCTCTATGGCACAGAGGAACAAGATATGCCCGGTGTTGGATACTCGCATAATACATGTTAGCAGATACATTCATTGTTGGTTGGGGTCTGCACATGGGATTTGCTGACAGTAAGAAGAATATAGAACATCACCAACCTTATCATGTAACAGGGTTATTAGCATGGGCCGTGACAGCCACCATGGTTGTATAGACAGAAGAGGGCACCAACTGCAGAAACTTAACCAACAAAACATTCCAAGGCAAAAGACATTACGCCATTGGCCACACAGTTCAGACTGGAAAATCCTTTATGGCTGGGAGGTGTAGTGCAAGAACGGCACAGCAATGAACGCTGAGCATCAAAGACAGCGTCAATGAGAAGAATAAATCTTAAGGCCCGGTCACGCCAGAGAGCGGCACGGCAAATATCATTGCGCGTCCTAGTAAACAAATGTTGTGGAGGAGTTTAACCTTGCACACAGCCATTGAGCTCCGATAGCTTCCTTTGTTTTTGGACTCTGATCTCTGAATTCACTAAAGGTTAATGACCCGTGTCAAAGTTCACCCAAAATTGAACTTGATGCCAAATAGTGACTTTGCCCCAGCAAGCTAACCCACCGAGGTTCCATTAAAAGTAATTCATTTTGCCACAGATTTGAGCTGTTTTATTTCTGGGCGTGACCAGACCTTCTCTAATTATCTCAGTTTCTGTTGTTACCGGTTTTAGAGCGATATTGTTCTTGATTGGATTCTTAGAGGACAGACAGTGTTTGCTCTTTCTCACACATGGCAGATAGGACTGAATGCAGGGTGTGTATTTTTCTGTGGGTGTGTTTTGTCACCGGAGGTGACAGCGGACAGTACAGTGTTTGGGGACAGCATTGAGATTTTGGTGTCATTGGTTCCCTGGTTTCCCTTTAAGCTTGACAGCAGCAGAGGATTTATTACGGCTGGGCGGCTGAGGGGCGGAGGAAAGACAACCCGAACCTCACGGGACTAAGAAAGTAAAAGGCACTTCAAAAAATTGTAACAAATTTCCAGTGTTACTAGATAGACTATATATAGATATAGATATATACTGTATGTATACACAGGCATTTTCATATATGAAGGAATGCAAAGACAGAGTATAAACACTTGACTTTTTATATATATATATATATATGCTGTATGTAATAATATATATGTAACATTTGTTGATCGTAGCTGGCAATATAGGAGCTTAAAAAAAGAAGGGGGTGGATGTGATAAAGCGCATTGTGGTTTTTAGGTTTGTTGAGGTTTTTGTGAGGGCAAAACTCGTGGCAATAAGTTTCAGTCGCTGTGCACAAACTGAAGAGTTGCATAGGCAAGACAACAAGTGGTTCATAATCACTCAGTTCGGACCATCAAAAGTCGTACGTAAGAAAGAAAACAATCAAATACACCAGAAAAAGTAAAGTGAAGACAGTGTGTGCCTATCCAAATGGATAGTAGATTGCTTTAACTTCCATGAGGCAAACAACAAATTAGTCCCCCCCCTTCTCCTCAATATCAAAGAAGCGAGAGTCGGTTCAAAGTCAGCAGCTTGCTTGTGTAGGGCATGATGGATGGCATGTGTGTAAATAGACTGCATATGCAGTGCATGAGTACATGTACGTCCAGGAAGGCCGAGGGCCGGCACAGCTGCCGTGTGCCAACCCCTACAGCTGGGTGTCCTGGTACTGGAAGGAGTTGGCGGTGTAGTATCCCGGCACTGCCTCCTCATCCTGCGCCTCCTCTTCGTTGGGGTAGAAGGGACGTCCCTCCTTGGAGGTTTGAGGAGTCTGGGGTTCAGGACGGGAGCTGGAGCTGGAAGGAAACGGACAAAACAAGTCGTACTGAGTCATTCACCTCTTCAAATTTAACCTGTGCTTCTCTAGCCTTGGCAACATTTGCAGATGGACAATTTGGCAAATTCGGTCCATCACTTTTGTACAGGCATAAATACCTCAACGACTATCGGAAGAATTGTGTATTCATGGTTCCCAGATGATGTATCCGACCGATATACATTGACAGCGGTTGTGTGAAAAACTGTGAAATTTGCTAAAGATATCTATGTGCCCTTGAGGATCATTTCTAATGACTTTGGTGAGCCCCGACTTTTCCATAATGGTGGGATGTCACTCTGTTATTTCTAGTTGTCTGGCTGTTACCTTGTTGTGTTTGAAGGCAGTCTAAGTCTGTCATTACTAAGTCCTAATACCTTTACACTTTCAATACAGGATACAAACTTTTTCAAATGTTTCTGGGAAAGGCCTAGAACACTTTAGAGAACTCTTTATTGATATTGCTTATCAGTTGACTTTAACAAGAACCTGCAGTTTAGTCATTATGTGCAGGACCAGATCACCTTGACTCTCAACTAGTCAAAAACAGCTGCATGGTCAGTTGCACCTGATTCTGAGGCAACTGCATATAAGAAGTGGACATAGTCATCGTGACATCCCCCATTGGTTTGTGGACTGCCGTTTTGAAACCTCTGCAATTTCGTTGTCGCCATCTTGGATTACGGCCGTCGCTATACGGCTCTGGTAGTGGCAGTGACCTGTCAATCCCAGTAAGCCCCGCCCTAAAGCATCCCCTGCTTTATGGTCTATTTGACTCTAAATGGACCATAATGTACTAAATGAACATCATGCTGTATTGAAGAAGACTTGAAGCTAGAGATTGAAACCATAAACTCATGTTCACAATGTTTACTGAGGTAATAAATCAAGAGAGAAGTAGAGTCATTTTCTCATAGACTTCTACACAATCAGACTTTTGTTTAACCAGAGGAGTCGCCCCCTGCTGTAGAGAGATTGCAAGTTTTAAGACACTTCCGCATTGGCTTCACTCGGTAAAACTGGAGGTTGCCGCCTGCTTTCAACTAACTCCAATATAAATCCATTCCTTGTCATTACTGGATAGTCAGAGCAACTGACTGACGTAGTATAAAGAGCCAGAAAGTTTGCTTATAGGAGGTAAGGGGGATGGTTCGGTTCAAGGAAACACAGGACTTTCTCCCAGGAAACCACCGTTCGTGTCCCGTGTGAGAACCAAGTCAACAGGGATTTATTTATTTATTTACTTTTGTTACGTAATTTACATACTTAGCTGATGCCATATAAGTAGGTAACATAACAAGTCTACTTATCTTAGCCCCAACCACAACCTTTTTCTTAAACCTAACCAAGTACTTTCGTTGCCCAGCCCTAACTAAGTAAAGCTAAAAACGAAGTAATCTTACGTTGGAAGTATATTTTGAAAAGACACTATGCATGGAACAAGCGTACACTGACACGCCCAAAACTGATGCTAGAGGGGTAACTAGAGTGTCCTAGTTTGATTAGGGCACAGACCTGGCTACCGTATTTGAGAAGTTGGGAGTGAGATCACGTAGGCAAGATACCTTGTTTTCCAGATGACCCAACATAAATCCTCTTAGCCCATTCAATAGGGGGCTTTTTCTACTCTGTCTCACAATATGCCAAAATGGGATTTGGAGTTTTTTGTCAATTGGATTTAGAATTACGAACAGTCAGACAATTTATCTGGATCATATCTAAACCACTTTATTTGGATGTCACAAATAGTAGCCTCATTGCACAAGAAAACTGAGTGACCACAATTGCAGCAAGTACAGTAGATCAATTTTAAAGCAGGAAGTGGGTCTGTCAACTGTAATGGATGTTGGCAACAGAAAGTTTTGGTATTCATTTTACTGACTGTGTTTCTGGCCCATTTAAGCTTGGTGATTGGACTGATTCTAAGCAATGTGGCTATATTAATAGATGGTAAGAAAGTGACTTGGTAAGTGCAATTACATAAAAACATATACAAACTATTCAAATTAAAAGTTGTACTAAACCAGAACGTCACCATATTGAAAAGATAACCATCACGCTACACTTCAATCTAAATAGGTTAACCATTCAAATAAATATTCCAATTATACAGTTATATATGCTTGTCAGCTTTTGCAGTACAAGTAATAACATACATGTGTTGTTTAAAAAAATATATGTATGTATGTATGTATGTTTTGTGTATGACCTATAAATGGTTGTTAAAATACGATCCATTTTCTACAGATCAATCTATAGTATATTATTTTATAAGACCTTCCCTGACTTGTAAACAACCACATCTTTCAAACTCCACTCCTCTAGTTTGTCTGAATGTGTAGTCTCTAAGCCCCAACTGACATGACCCTGATGACATCACTTATTTACTCGGACCTGACAAAGCTCTGCAGTACGCTGTACGAAAAAAAACATTCTTCAGTGCATTACACAACATACTGCACATACAGTGTATTGAATGCATGCCAGTGCCTTAGATCTGCTTCGTATGTAGCATAAACTTAAAGCTGGGGTAGGCAGTTTTTTTTGGGCGTCTAAATTCAGGCAGTTTTCAGGCTTCATAAGGTCTGTAGCCCTTGACGGGAGACTTTGGCCAATCACAGGATGCTCCAGATGGTGGTGAAAGTCTGATTAAATGGCGGAAAAGTTGCTATTCCAGCATTGGGAAAAAACTGCCTACACTGTAAAGCAACCCCCCCAAAAAAGGAAGACTGACTTATCTAAAATCAAGTCTGATGCTGCTAATAGTTTATAGCTTCTACTTATTGCAGCCAAAGGCACAGCAGCGGCTAGCTCACAGCAGCTAAAGGCTGCGGCTAGCAGAAGGCTAAACTATGAGCAACATTTTCACTCTCTCTCTCTCCAATAGTTTAGCCTTCTGCTTAGTTCACCACTTGCGAGACCCTCAAATCACAGTTTGTCGTCCCCAAGGGCTTTACAAGAGAGGGGAGAGCTGCCTTTTCCAGAAAAGTGCTTACCCTCTGGTTACCACTTGAAATACAATAAAGGTTTACAGTTATAATGAAAACCATTTTTTGTTACTATTTATGTGCTGCATTTTGCCATTTAATGTATTTACATTCTCTTTAAAGGAGTTTTTATTGTTAGCGGTGGAGTCTGCATTCAGATTGCCTTCACTCCAGGCGGCAACCTTCGGTTCTTCTGAGTGAAGCCAATGCGGATGAGTCTTAGAAATCGCATTCTATCTACTGACCAGCAGGGGGCGAACCCTCTGGTTTTGATGGCGGATCAGTTTTCAAATAGTGCAGGTAGTGATGGAACAGTGAGCTGTGAGATGAAGAGCTGCAGGAGACATGACATAGCAACATAATCAACTCCTCTTACTGTATTCTGGCTGTGCATGCAGCATGAAATCAGATGGAGTTTGATCATTGCGTGATGGAAAAATGCCAATTACTGATTTCTCTATTATAACAATAAACAGACAAACCAGCTGCTCTTCTGTTGTAGTTCTGCCAAAGCTGTAGTAAACCACAGGTATTTCCATGTCAACCAGGAATGGAAATCTTAAGAATTACAACTGTAAAGACCTTATGTGTGTCTGTTACTTTTGGGGTCCTTAATGTCAGCTGAGTGGTGTTAGGTTGCACTATCAGTGACATCTTGTAAACTGGGAGACATGGCAAACACACAACTATGCTGAAGTACACACTCACAGCGGAGCTTGGAAATGGTCGTATGGCAGTAGAGAGCCTACCCGATAGGCTGCGGGCGACCGTGATCCAGCTTGGCTGTCTTCAGAGGAACAGCATAGATGTCTGGATGCTTCTGAGCAATTTCCAGCTGGGAACAAAGATTAGTTGAAAAATAAAAAGACTTTATACAAGACATATCGCAGTCTGAAAGGCAGATTATCGTCATGACTTTTACTGAGCTCGTTCATGCTCCTCAGAAGATGAAGCCTCCTTATTTTCAGCCCTATAGAAGCTTTCTACTTTTACCTCTTTGAGCCAAAATATCCATATTACCAATTAATCAACACGTAAAAAAAACAGAACACGGTATGTAGTAATAAAAACAAAAATATCTTGTTAGAAACTGTTTCCACTTTCTAACAGATCTTGCTAAAATGAGAGACTGTGCAAATAAAATTTAAAAAAAACACTGCAGCATATCTCTACAAATATAAACTTAACTTTAAAAGTCAGCGTCACACAGTTTAAATCAGTGTCTTACATACAGGAGGGATGGGGTCTGGGGCACATATAAGGTGTTGTAGTACTGTATATGTGAAAAATGTTCTTTAAAGCCTTTATTGTCTCCAAAGAGACCTGTGTGAAGTCTGATAAATGTCCCCAAGTGAAGTCACTTGAGTCAGCGTTGGTTTGGTCTGAGGACTACAAGTTTAAGAGTGAAAACAATCTATCAAGGATCTTGTGCATACAGATAAATATGTTGTGACCAGGCTGAACCAGGTCTGAAAAGTGAAGCCAGTGCAGAAGTGCCTTACACCTGCATTCTCTATAATGGCCATCAGGGGGCGACTCCTCTGGTTGCAAAAAGAAGTCTGATTGTACTGAAGTCTATGAGAAAATGACTCTACTTCTCTCTTGATTTATTACCTCAGTAAACATTGTAAACATGAGTTTATGGTCTCAATCTCTAGTTTCAAGTCTTCTTCAATACAGCATGATGTTCATTTAGTACATTATGGTCCATTTAGAGTCAAACAGACCATAAAGCAGGGTATGCTTTATTGCGAGGCTACTTTGTGATTGACAATTTGCTACCATGGTGTTTCAACGTTCTGCGTGTTGTCCAGGTTTTGTCTAAGAACTTTAACCCTTTCACAGTGTGTTTTCAGTTCATGAAAGTTATTTGTAACATTTGTCGCCTAAAACTGTCTTATTCAGCATTCAGTGGTGAGCACTGAATGCTCAAAATGGCCAAAATGTCGAAGACAAGGTTTAGTCCACCAACCACACGGTGGTTTGTGGGACTCTTTTGATGAAATCTTTAATAATGTGACACCTTAAGGTTTAATCATATAAATGTGTGCTCAAGACCTAATCCCTCCAGATGTGATGTCCTACATGTATGCCGTTTTTCTCTGCACATCATGGACAACAATACTCTTTACCCACTTAACTTGTCTGTATTTGGCTCTCTATGTTGTGAGCCAAGTTCATCAAGCCACTGCTGACACAAGGTACGAAAGAAATATCGTGACTGGCTGAGAGAATACTGTTCCATCACCATACTAATCTGATATACATTTACTTCACCCACTCCCTTAGCATCTAGTATGCCGTACTTGTACAAACTATGATACAACGTGCTGATATATGCTCTAAAGAGGCAGAGGCATACATCTGCAAAGTGATCAATTTGTAAAATCCTACAGAACTGATCTAACAGCCTGCCTTCAGTTGTGCGTAATACACCTCATGATACTACAGACGACCAATAGGAACACTGAGCTATGCCCACCCTGGCGTTCTGGGCCTCCTGTAGTTCCAGCAACCTCTGGGCTCGGGCGAAGTGGTCCATCTTCTCGAAGGCCTTGATCTTCCCCAGGAAGGACCTCAAGGACGGATCGTCCACGGGGTTGTCCCTCGCTGCCTCCTGCTGCTGCTGCTTACAGGCTGCCAAGGTTGCACCGGGCAGAGCCGCAGGCGAGCGAACTGCAGATTCCGCCACGGTCCCGCAACCGCCGGGCTTGGGCACGGCGGGGGGTTGGAGCGCTCCCGGGGGCCACAGTTTGCCGCAGGGGCTGAAGTGGTGAGCCGGCGACGGGGCCAAGGAAGCGGCGGAAGAACGGGAGATGAGGGGGGGAGGGTCGTTGTTGCTGCTGGCGGGGCTGCTGCTGGAGGGGGAGTCGTAACTTCGGCTGGAGCCGGGGGGCGGAGGGTGGTGGTGACGGTGCGGGTTGGCGGAGCCCGTCACGAGGATCGGATCGTCCCTCAGAGACAGTTTGACCTGACCAAGAAGGGGAAGCGTTAGAGCCAGAACAGATGGTGGTACTCGCAGTCCTTTATAATAAGCAAAACCATGTAACAGAAACTAAGGAGAAACTCCTTAATGCAGCCACTGTGCTCCATACCGAGTCCATAATCTCTGAAACAACTATAACCGCCTCAGCTTTGATGGCTCTTTCTGGGTTTACTGCAGCAGGTAGTCCCTCTGAGGGCTAAAATCTGCTTTTTTGAGATTTGTCAGACTAAATTAGGTTGTTTATCCAAACTGTTTCCCTTGATTTTGATGAAAGTCAAGGCTGAAGGGATTATTTAGCCGAGTAATCCCAGTAACACCTCAGGGTCTCCTAGGATGAACCGCAAAACTAAGCATAAAAGAACAGTCGGTCTTCCCTTAACCTGGAAAAAATGTCTGAAACGAACGAATGGATAGAAGAATTAGTTGCCTCTGTTGGTGCTAGTGAGATGGCAAGGCTGGATGGTTAGTACAGTAAAGCTTAGGTTATACTTGCCATAGTGAAATTGGCGCGAGGCTTGGTCACGCACATCTGAAGTGTTGTAACTTGACACGTGCACGATCATGTGACTGTCACAAATAGTTCACTGATAAAAACACAGTTGATGTGTCTAGGTATTATAAGAAGAAGGTCAATTCACTTTTAAATGCTTTAGAAACTGGTGCTCTAAGACTGGTGAAGTCACGATGACTACGTCCACTTCTTATTTACAGTCTATGGGTTTAACTTGTGTAACGGCAGCAAGTTTGCTGATCAGGCAAGGAAGGGCCAGTGCCCCGGGATCAGACCCCCCCTGGGGTTTGTGCTGAGCGTACACAGGCCCTGTACCTTCAACGTGATTAAAAAAAACTTCTTCTTCCTCTCATGTTGGACTGAGGGCAGAGTGGATGCTACAGTGACTCACTGTCGCCTCTCGAGGTACAAGTGGTATTACAAGACAGGACGGGCCGAGGCTAGCTGGTTAGCATGATCATATCAGTAGATATTACTGTAACCAATTCACATTCTGTTGATAATGTTCATTCAGTTTTTGAACTAAAATCCTGGCCAGAGCTTACATATTGCACCACTTTCAAGCTAATGTGGGAAATTTGAGCAAAATGAAATGTGATTTATGTTACCTTTAAGTTCTTGCAGTAGAAAAGGACTAAAATAATGATTTCGGTTTTTGGTTCTTCCTGGACAGATGAAACCATTCACTAAAAATGTAGACAATCAACGAACACTGCTGGATCTAGTAGACTAGTATATCAAACAACACTGTGGAAACTTAAAACATTGGCTATAACAGAGGAAAGCACTAGAAAAAGGGTTGGTTTCAAAACTTAAGTTTTCATTCCAACCGAACAGCAGCTCCTCAACAACATTCACTCTTTACTTTGAAAAGAGATAAATACTTATTGATATCAGCTGCTGGGTGTTGTTGGAATGAAAACCTTGAACACAGCTTAAGGTTGAACACCACTGGTATAGACAAGCCCACCACGATGTACCAATAACTGAGGGGAATTCTGGGTACCCATCTGGTCCAATGAGCTGACGGCGGAGGACTCAGAACCGCAGCGAGAGTGGTTCCTCCACATCAAGCCATTCCTCAAAGGGAAGGCCAGTTTGCTCCTTTCAGTGGAGGTAAAGAGCTGCCAGGGCGCATGTGGAGGACAGAGTCAGAGTTGCTGTATGTTGTTATACTTACTGTTTGCTACTGAGAAATGATACCATCTTTGACTAACAAATAACAAAACACTTTTCTTATGTGAAATGGAAGAGGGGAGGATGTTGGATTCTTACATATTTTGTCAGATAGACACGCCACCAAAACAGTTCGGGCTTGTTTTATGCATAGTTGACATACTTAGACTGAATTTGTGAAATGCTGAATAAATCTAGTGATGAAAAACACGCTTGAGACTTATTTCTCTTGTTTCTGGCTTTGAGGGTCGCTCACGTTCATTCAAATTGATTGAACTTCATAATAATAAAATTGTTGTGTTTATTTGCAGTTGGAAACTATTACCTGTGTGACCTAGTATTTGCCTTTGCTCAGTGATTTTTGTTGTAGTTCATTCACTTTGTTTTGTTAAAAAAATGGAACAAAGATCCGGCATAGAGCAATGCCCCTTTTCAACACTTTGTTGAATTGTCCTGGATGACTCGGACTTCATCTCAATATTACTTTCATTATTGACTCATCTGTTGATTATTCGTCTGATTAATGTTGATTGCATAAATGCCCATCTCCTCAGGCCCAAGTGTATTGTTTAGTCTGACCAACAGTCCAAAACCCAAACGTATTCACATGAATTTAAAAAAAATAAAGAATGTAGTTGGGTTTAGATAGCTAAAGGACACAGACCAGTGTTTCCAGAGGGAGGTGGATTGTTACTGTACAGATGTACTCTATGGGTCCCTCACCTTGCTGTCTGCCAAGAACACAGGTGGAGGGCTGGACCTGTTGAGGACTTCACGGCTGCTAATTTTCCTCATGCGACTCCTGATGTCTGGACTGTACCTGCGCAAGATCTA